GCTTCAACCTGGGGACCCAGCTACAACCCTGAATGGGAGTCACTTCTGTGCCAAGGATCACTGCAACAACTCAGTCAACCCTTGTGCCGAGTGGCATCGTGGAGCCTGGTGGAACAGGCTAGATGTCTGCCAGACGAATCCTCACCAACAATATGACATTTACTGGGTTCTTGACGATGGTACCGCTCACGAATGTAAAAGCATCTATATGTTCATAAATCCTGCCTAATACTCAAACTCCCTTAAAATGTCAGTAGGCATAAACAATATGCACGGTACTTGCACATAACCTTCACGACACATGCGCTATACATGCACGGTACTTGCACATAACCTTCACGACACATTCACTATACATGCACGGTACTTGCACATAACCTTCACGACATCGACAATACGTACACGGTACTTGCACATAACCTTCACGACACATTCACTATACCTGCACGGTACTTGCACATAACCTTCACGACACATCCACTATACATGCACGGTACTTGCTTGCACAACCTTCACTCTTCACTATACCTGGACGGTACTTGCACATAACCTTCACGACACATTCACTATACAGGCACGGTACTTACACATAACCTGCACGACACATCCACTATACATGCACGGTACTTGCACATAACCTTCACGACATACTATACATGCACGGTACTTGCACTATACCTTGCACATAACTTTCACTTGCACGGTACATAACCTGCACGCACATACTTGCACATAACCTTCACGACACATCACTACACATAACACTATATACACGGTACTTGCACATAACCTTCACGACACATCACACTATACGGTACTTGCACGGGTACCTTCACGACACATGCATACATAACCTTCACTATGCATAACACACATTCACTATACATGCACGGTACTTGCACACGGTGCTTGCACGCCTTCACGATCACAACACTATACCTGCACGGTACTTGCACATAACCTTCACGACACACTATACATGCACGGTACTTGCACATAACCTTCACGACACATTCCGGACACATTCCTATACATGCACGGTTACGCATAACCTTCACGCACATCACTTAACATGCCTTCACTTTGCGCATAACATTCGACATATATGCACGGTACTTGCACATAATCTTCACGACCTATGCACGGTAACTTGCACATATACAATCTTGCACGACCTCATGCACGGTACTTGCACATTACCTTCACGACACATTCACTATACATGTACGGTACTGGCACATAACCTTCACGACACATTCACTATACATGCACGGTACTTGCACATAACCTTCACGACACATCCGCTATACATGCACGGTACTGGCACATAACCTTCAAGACATGCACGGTACTTGCACATAACCTTCACGACGCTATACATGCACGGTACTTGCATAACCTTCATAACCTTCACGATGCGGTACTTGCACGCACCCTTGCATGCGCTATAACCTTCAGGCACATAACCGACACATTCACTATACATGCACGGTACATGCACATAACCTTCACGACATTGTCACTATACATGCACGGTACTTGCACATAACCTTCACGATGCACCTTCGGGACCATGCACGTGCATTGCACATAACCTTCACCACACATTCGGTTATACTTGCTAGGTACTTGCACGGTACTGCCAACCTTCACGACATATCCGCTACACATGCACGGTACATAATTACATAAATTTCACGAGATATATGCTATAAATGCATGGAACATCTACATAAACTTCACAGTTCATAAACTGTGCCAGAAAAAGAAAATTCACAAGAAGGACATTCAGACCAAGATGTGTTCTGAAAGGGAATTTACAGCAAAGAAGTAAATTAAAACTCAAATCCCATAATAAGACAATGTCTGCAATATCGTCTTTAGCCACCTTCAGTATGACTTGGATGTTTTGTAGTCTTTGGGCTTGTTTCAGTTGGAATGTGTTGCTTTCGGAGCTTGTGCCCTCGAAGTCATGTCTACGTAAGTGTTCGGATGTATGTTTAGTCCTATTTAATTGGTTTTCTCATCACGAGACACCTGTCTTATATGTTGTTGCAATATTATCCTCCTGCTGTTGTTAACACAGTTATATTAACCTCTTTGAAGTATGTAAGCCGTAATTCAATTTAAACTGTCACCGGCAGCATACTTGTGTACCACGCCCAGATTCCTCAGTTCAACATTCTGTCATTAAACAGCGCCATTTTTCATGTCAAGTTCAGGTTTCACCTGACGACATTCTGTTAAGCGGCCATGAATAAAATTCACTCACCTCACAGTTTTGGTAATATTACACAAAAGCCACAGATCCAGGTTTTGTTTATTTATTTACTTTTAGTAGATTCTTTTGAAAACATTTTCTGTTACACATTGTCAGAATTGAACGTTCACTTTTATGTGCAAAATATTGTCCAGTTTATTATACCAGATTATCTTTGATGCCCTGATTGTTTGACTATGTCTTCAATGTATTCGGACATGGATATGCTATAACCGCTTAAATGTATTAAATATGTACCCGTGCTTGTTGTTTCAAAAGCCATCCCATTGTTTTGATTTGGTTGTTGTTTAACGCCGCACTCAGCTATGGCAGCGGTCTGTAAATAATCGAGTCTGGACCGGGGATTCCAGCGATCAACAGCACGAGCATTGATCTACCTAATTGGGATACGATGACATGCAGTGAGTCAACCAAGCGAGCCTGACCACCTGATCCCGTTCGTCGCCTCTTACGACAAGCATGGGTTGCTGAAGACATCCTAATGAAATCTGTGTTCTGATTCATTATAGACACAGCTATGATTGAGACAAGACATACTGCATATTAGTGACTAGATACGATCACAGGTCATAGGTACATTTCTCATCACTTTCATTCTCACTCAGTGTTTAGTTATATGGATACTTGGCCTGACTTTGTCATCGAGAACGTTGTTGTCTGGTCAAGACGTCGTTGTTTAAAGACCGCCGCCATATGACAAAAGAACTGTTGAGTGAGTGAGTGATTTTAGTTTGACGCCGCTTGTAGCAATATTCCAGCAATATCCCGCCGTGGACACCAGAAATTGGCTTCACACATTGTACCCATATGGGGAATCGAACCCGGGTCTTCGGCGTGACAAGCGAACTCTTTAACCACTAGACTACCCCGTTTTTTCAGTAATCTCTTACAAGTATATTATTTTCGATTGGTTGCTGCATTATGTATCAACTCTCCCGTATGGTGAAGCAAACTGCATGTAACCAGGAGTATTACAGCAAATTACCAATGCATCATGGCATATACATATTAATTCACGGTATTTTATGTTCATGTTTACAAAGTTGTAGGTAAAACAATCTCTTTGCCAACTCTTGCTGTGTTTGATATAAACTAAACGATTGTGTGGTATTTCTTGCGATCACGCATTCTCGCACTTTAAGTACATTTCGCTCGTTTCCAGAGGTTGAAATTGCGAGATTGTTCCGTTCGGCTTACCTCAGTTGACAACAGTTTATAGCTCGCAAGTCATTAGCGGCTTGTTCCAGCTCCACAAATGAATCAATAATTCGCTACATTAAAACCACAGTAAATACCGATATTGATAACATGGATCGACGGTCACCAGTCTGTTTTACGTCCGTGGGGTGGCAGACAAGTTGATAAAACAATATTTTACACACCGTAAAATAAATAACACATATGAATGTGAAAGGTAACTGAAGTGTTAAATTGATGGAAGGAACATACTGATAGATAAGAGTGGGAAACCTGCAGAATTCCGTTAGATGAAGGTGGAAACTTATAGAGTACCATTAGACAAGGATGGAAACTTATAGAGTCGCACCACCGTTAGATACGGGAATAAGGGAACTTGTAGAGTACTGTTAGATGAAGGTGGGAACTGGTAGAGTACCATTAGATAAGGCTGGGAACTTGTAGAGTACCATTAGATAAGGGTGAGAACTTGGGAACTGTTGGATGAAGGTGGGAGTAGAGTTCCGTTTGATAAGGGTGGAACTTGTGGAGTACTGTTAGATGAAAGTGGTAGAGTACCGTTAGATAAGAATGGGAATTTGTAGAATTCCGTTAGATAAGGGAGGGACTTGTAGAGTACTGTTCTTGTAGAGGCAGTCAAAGGAACAGTCTTTCGCAAAACGCAAATCAGTTTTGAAGTGACTAATTAACACATCATTAATGATATAATATTAGCCCGAAACAGGAATAAGTATTGGTATCATGTCATTATGTTTGATTATGGTGAATGCACATGCATTATGTTGTCGTAACTGACTTTGAAACAAAACCAGAGAAAGGTTTTCTCAAATTCAATATATACAAACGACTTAATCGTCTTGAAGTATTTGTGTCATACAAGGACTCTTAGTATGTTTGAATACGTACACTAACAGTTTCAACACATAAGGCTACAAATATCCATTGACCAATGGAATGCTTCCGTATTTCCTCGTAACTCCAGGGAGCATTGCAAGAATAATAACGAGAGGAATTTCGTGGCCAAAAGTACCTACGTTTAACGAGTCCCGGCCCCAGTACTTAATCCAGACTGTAGGTGTGTAATCGCAAGAATAAAATTGGCGAAATTTGTGCCAGGAAGAATACAGGCGTTTAATTGTGATCCCGAGGTTTGAACGGGGAAATATAGTAGTTAAAACTCACAGTGTAAAGGTCATCTAACCTCTGTCATACTAAGACACTAGTCGCTTATATCTTTTAATGACACGAAAGGACAATAACGTTATTGTATATGAACGGGAATTCTTACATACTTAATGACAAAAGTGAGGATTATGAATATGAGTCAATATGCAATGTATCTTAAATCCACATAATTAACTCTATACTCTCAAAACAAGTCAACAACCATTCTATCATATCATTATGAAGAAGGTGGAACCACAATGCAACCCTCGCCATGTGGTCAGATATATAATGTAGTCATGGTAACGGCCAAACACAGACAGCGTGGGGGACAAGAGTAGTTCTGTCACACATCACACTGCGACAGTCGAAGGAAAGTAGCTCGGACTGAAAGACTTCTATAAGTATCTCACGAAGGAAATTATGAAATCGTATCACCTTTTACTTACTAGTTTTGCAGGATTGACTGCAATCCTTTGTGCACAATGTACCGTTTCGAGTTTTTACCAGGAGGTACAGACAGGTGTTGACGCAGCAATGGTTTTCGACTACATACAGACGACGTCAGTCCCTCAATGTGCCATCACCTGCAAAGGCGTCGCCAACTGCACCGGTTTCATTTACTGCAACATCGACAACAGATGCTCCATGTTGACATTGGATCAGCCTTCCGTTCCTGTCAGCGTTCCCTACCCGACCTGCAAGGCATTCTTAGAGGTCACGACCTCCAGTCAGGTGAGTTCAAATTTGAATATATTCAGGGGAGATAATTGTAAATCAATTAAAGATATTAAAGAATTAAATATGAAAGATACAATGACTGGCTTCAGACATCTCCCTCTAAAACGCATCATGATTTCTACTCTGTCAAATTGAGCGTGTGAAATTCCCGTTTCCTAACGAGTTTGACATAACGTCATGTTTTGTGTGTACAACTAATATGAGACTGTAAATCCTGAAATGTGTAGTATTCGTTGTTGTTTTCTTTTGGGTAACGTTAAAATGGGCAAACGAGTTTGGAAGGAATCTGACTGTGGGGAACCCCAGAAATGGGCTTCAGACATTATATCCAAAGGGGAATCGAACCCGTACCTTCTGGCATAACAAGGAAGCACTGTAACCACAAGGCTACCCCAACACCTCTTAGGTTGAAAATCCATGTTTGTCTTGATTGAATTCCGCTTGTGTAAATACTCAAGTCTTGTGACACTTTTCCTTAACAGGACATAACAAATACTTTGAGTGGATAGGTTGCACGTATAATTGTAGGTACATAGATCATATCTTCTTTGAAATAACAAAGACTTATATTGGTTCGAGTTCCACATAGAGACTGTATATAAAACTTGTATAAACTAGATTATATCATATTTTGTCTTTACAACTGATATGAGAAATCCAGAAATGTGTAGTAACTGCGTTGTTTTCTTTGGGGTAAAGTTAAAATGGGCAAACGAGTTTGGTTTTACTCCGCCTTCAGCAATAAAGGAATCTGACTGTGGGGAACCCCAGAAATGGGCTTCAGACATTATATCCATAAGGGGAATCGAACCCGTACCTTTCGGCATAACAAGCAAGCACTGTAAGCTATTGGAAATCGCATTTTGAAGAAACCTGTCAGTTGTTCTTCCTCTGAGTGTTGGGGCGGTGGGGTAGTCTAGTGGTTAAAGCGTTGGCTCGTCACGCCGAAGACCTGGGTTCGAATCCCAAAAGGGTACAATGAGTGAAGACCATTTCTGGTGTCCCCCGCCGTGATATTGCTGGAATATTGCTAAAAGCGGCGAAAAACCAAACTCAGTCAGTCAGTCAGTCCTCTGAGTGTTTTCCCCGTGCAAACATCTGGTATGGCTTTCCTATGTTTGTTTTGAGCAATAAAGGAATCTGACTGTGGGGAACCCCAGAAATGGGCTTCAGACATTATATCCATAAGGGGAATCGAACCCGTACCTTTCGGCATAACAAGCCAGCATTGTAAGCTATTGGAAATCGCATTTTAAAGAAACCTGCCAGTTGTTCTTCCTTTAAAGTGTTTTCCACCTGCAAACATCTGGTATAGCTTTCCTTTGTTTGTTTTGAACTAGAGAAAAACCAACAGCACCTGTTTTGTTTCAGACTTCGCCATCATGCCAGAATGGAGGAACCCTTGATGGTGCTGTCTGTCTCTGTCTGCCTGCCTTTACAGGAGGGAAGTGTGAGACCAGGATGGAAGGTAAACCTTCAGTTACAGATTTGGAATATTTTGGCATCGTGACATATTTATGTGATCCTGTTTTGTAAGGGTCATTTCCCAGAAGTTTCATTTGTATGTGTAACCGGACTCACCAATCGTGAAGATCTCTGCAAGGAAGCAAAAGATGAATCCCTAAAGAATTCCTGTTAAGAATATCACCTTCCATCAGTACCGCCATAAAGAAGTTGCGTCAGTTAGGCGCGAGAAACACCAGTGATGGTGGGTTCGAACCTCAGGTTGTCACTGTACATGCTTCCAGGTCAGTCGGCACCAACCAAGCTCATGAATTTCACCAAAGTGTTTCGTCGTCAAGCTAATAGACGATGCTGCTCAAAATGGGTTGACTCTCTTACTTCGTATGATGGGTCACAGTTCATTCATAACATGTCTATGTTTTAACCAATTCGAATATTGTACAAAGTTGGTTTATGTCCAACTCACTAACACATTGATGCCCTTGATATATGACACTTTTGCTTTTGTCCACCATTGTCCTATGTTTGAGAGTCAATGTTTTACTGTTTCAGACTGTAAAGACGTGTCCCTGTACGTTGGTAACTCTACTGGAACCTACACAGTCTGGCCGAACAAAGCCGCACAACCGTTTGACTTGGAATGTCAAGGCGTCACTACTATGATCATGTTCAGGGACAAAACTATCAGTGGCTGCGAGGCGGCGCCCGTGACGTACCTCGACGTTCCCTGGGCCGACTACAAGTCTGGCTTCACCCACTCCAACTGTTACATGTGGCTGGGTCTGGAGAAGATGCATGCTCTGACCAGCGTCAGATCTTACTCGCTGTACATGTCACTGAAGAGATTTGATAACACTCCCGGACAAGTAGCTTACAACACCTTCTCCGTCGGTGACGAGGCTTCGGAGTATCAGCTGTCGGTGTCCGGGTTCACCGGGGATGGCGTTTTCGGAGACCGCTTCAACCTCGGGGATCCAGCGTCAACCCTGGATGGTAGTCACTTCTGTGCCAAGGATCACTGCAACAACTCAGTCAACCCTTGTGCTGAGTGGCATCGTGGAGCCTGGTGGAACAGGTTGGATGTCTGTCAGACGAATCCTCACCAACGATATGACATTTATTGGATTCTTGCTGATGGCACCCCTTCCGAATGCAAAAGCATCTACATGTTCATATATCCTGCCTAACACTGACTCCCTAATGGTTAACGATATGTAAACGGCATTTGCACATAGCCTTCACGACATATGAGCTATGCATGTACGGTACTGGCATATAACTTTCATGACACATGCACTATACATGTACCGTCCTCGTACACAACTTTCACGACATATGCACTATACATGTGCGGTACTTTTGCAAGGGAATGTACAGCACTGAGGTTTATTAAAACTAAAATAAAACAATGTCTATAATACCGTCTTTGGCCACCTTCAGTATGACTTGGATGTTTTGGAGTCTTGGGATAATTTCAGTTGTGATGCATTGACATTGCTATTCAGAGTGTGTGGAATTCGCTGTCTGTTAAGTCATGTCTGCTTCCCCCTGAGTGAATCGCTCCATCTCACGCTTGTATGATTAGTCCCATTTGATTTGCCTCCTCATCATGTGGACCCTGTCCATCACGTTGTTGCAATGCTATTCTTCTGTTGTTGCTACTTATGTAAATTATGTTATGTCATTATGTTAACCTCTTTCAATTATGAAAACTGTAGTTAAATTTAAGCCTTCAGTAGTATATCTGAACGTGCACCCTGAGTTCTCAGTCCTAATCAAAATGTAGATATCCTGATGGCTATGTCACCTGCTCTCAATAGGGAATATAGTCTGCCAAGAAAGAAGAAACAAATAAACGCAAAACTAGTTTTCAGATGTATACTTTATGTATAATATAAATAATACATTGTTTAAATTTCAGGGGCGGTAGGGCAGCCTAATGGTTAAAGCGTTGGCTCGTCACACCGAAGACCCGGGTTCGAATCCCCACATGGGTACAATGTGTGAAGCCCATTTCTGGTGTGCCCCGCCGTGATGTTGCTGGAATATTGCTAAAAGCGGCGTAAATCCAAACTCAGTATCTTGTATGTCCCCCCATAAGAGTAGAGAACTGACTGGCATCGTCGCCCCTATGACCCAATCAGATTGCGAATTGTGGCCTGGTGAATGTTCACACATTCTCCCTGCAGTGCATGTACCAGCTGTTGGAGGTTCTGTGGCTGTAGCTGACGTGATGGAACATTACGTTCCCCGTGACATATGTACACACAACGTCTGTCTTTTATGCAGAAAGGTAAAACCGTGACAAGTCACTCAATCAAACACGTCTCCTTCGCTGTTGTTATCATACTGTGTCCTTGACACCAATGACCTTGACATCCCACAATGCTGATGCGCAAGTGCCGACAAAGTTATAGATTCATTTACCTGTGCTGTGCCGTCTCCATCCTTCCTCGCACACCTGCATTATTTACAGACCGCCGCCATGTAGCCGTAATAGTGCTGAGTGCGGCGTAAAACTAAACTCACTCACTCAATCAAATGAGAGTCAAAGATAAGTCGCAAGAATTGGCCTCCTTTACAACTTGGATGGGAGTGCCATTTAAAAATAGTTCTAGGTCCTTATGCAGATATAACAATTTGTATTTGATTTAGAAAATTTATAACCATTTTCAATTGACCATTTGAGAAATTTATTGTCACCACGACAAAAAACATTATAATCATCCACGAAAAGTGATCCATCAACTGAATCAGTTAAAACCTCTGAAAGACAAAATACTGGCAAATTGTTGAACACCCTGATCCTGACTGTAATGATCAGACAGGGTGGACCCAGGGCGAAAATGCCTGTCTGTTACAAATTTGGAGATAAAATGAGGTAAACGAGCTCTCAAACCAATATCATGTACATCCTTCAGAATACCGTGCTTCCAAGTGGTATCGTAGGCTTTTTCAAGATCGAAGAAAATTGAGAGAACATGTTGTTTAGATACTATGGCATTTTTAACAAAGGATTCTAACCTGGCATATGATCATTGTTACATCGGAAACCACTTTGTATATTATTCATTAAGTTATTGGTTTCCAAGTACAAAATAATCTATTATTAACCACTCGTTCCATGGTTTTATAGATATTGGTCTGTTATTAGAAGGATCAGTATGATCTTGGCCACGTTTTGATATAGGGACCACAATGGCATTACGCCACGAGGGCGAAAAATTCTCTGATGTCCATATTTTTTCAAACATATCTAGAAGTGTTTCCAGATATGAATCAGGCAAATGCTTTCGGAGCTGATAGTGATTATCATCAGCCCCTGTTGCTGTATCATGAACTTGCTCAAGGGCAGTATGTAGCTCAAACTTGGGTTTGTATTGACAGTATATTTTATGAGTAAACAGATTTCACCTTCGTTTTGTTTACTAAGATACACAATTAGACCTAAAGTTTCTTCAATTAAATACAAAGTTGACCACCGATCTTTGTGTATTTCAAGAGTTCTTTGCTTCACACTAGCACCCCGAGGCTATACAGTGTGCAGGAACGATCCTCAGACAAGTCAGTAATAGTCATCCAATAATTGAAAGCTCATTGAATCCCTGTGTAGAATGTGTAAATATACCGTTTCATTGTGGGGATTTGAATCCAAACGAAACCCATATCGCGAATTTCGCTTAATGACTTAGAGACAATTGTGTTGGAATAAAATAGGTGTTGAAGCAGAACAATATTTTCACCCCAAGTGTGAATGTGACGAAGTGTCAATATGCTCAGCGTATACAACAAATGTTAAAAAATGAAAAAAATCTATATCTTTAATTAAATATCATTATCTGATCTTAGTTTTGTTCTTCTTTGAGATAAGGTAGAATTAAGAATCACCACGTTTAATTGAGTATTGCGTGCCATGCTGTCAGACAAAAGGAAACTTTCATTTTATGGATACAGATATATCATGAAGTCATGGTAATGGTCAAACACAGTTATAGTTAAAGTCAAACACAGACATCCAGGGAAACAGTCAGGTGATCTGTCACACATATCACAGTGGTACGGTTGTTGGAGCCGATCTTGAAACTTCTTCTTACACTGCAATCAAAATATGATTTGTTTTCAACTCTTGCTTGTAACTGTTTATACAGCAGTGAATGTCAACTGCTCACCTCAGTGTTCTGCACAGCGGTTTTCCAAGGAAGAACAGACACATATTGATGCAACAATGGTCTTCGACTACGTAGAGACAACCTCGGCTCTCGAATGTGCCAACACCTGCAACGGCGTCACCAACTGCACCGGTCTCATCTACTGCAACGACGACAACAAATGCTCCGTCTTGACAATGGAGCAGCGTGTCGTTCCTGTCAGTGTTCCCAACCTTACCTGCAAGGTTTTCACTGAGTTCCCCACTTCCAGTCAGGTGAGTTCTAATTTGAATATATTCAAAGCATATGAGCGACACCTTTCCACATCTAAAAGAAATCTATTGTACAATTCTATCTGTGTCTTGAGAATGTATTATGAATCAGCACAAAAACAGTGATGATACCAGATCTTAGCGTATCCTGCCCCACCAGTGTCATAAACATAGGCAAGTAAATTGTTCACCTGAGAATATCGGGACTGTTGGGTAAAAGTCAAAATAAGGAATTGCATCGGAGATCATCTTTTGTCACTGATGTGCCAGATTTTGAAATTTCTGCCACATGTCTACAATAAAAACTCATGCATTTTGTGTCCTAACCTTGATGAGACAACTTCTGAGCAAGAGTCGAATGATGCTCTTTGACATGGTGATCCAACGAGCATGTCTGACTGTACCTCAAAAAGTTGAGAAATGTGAACACCAAAATCTGGAACTGGTGGAATATTACTCCACATGAAGGGACAGTTAACTTTTGGAAACTTGAAGCCATTCCACTGAGTTGGGGGCTGCAGGGGTAGCCCAGTGGTTAAAGCGTTCGCTCGTCACGCCGAAGACCCGGGTTCGACTCTCCGCATTGGTACGATGTGTGAAGACCAATTTTTGGGTCTCCTCCCTCCAGAGAGTAAGTGAAGTACAATATAAAGTATTTCGCCAATATCGTGACAAGAACATAATATATCCTTAAACTATCCTTATAGCTTCACATATTGGACCCATGTTGGGAATCTTGAGGCGGCTTGACGAACGAACACTTTAAGCACCACACTACCTTAAACGCCCCTGATGTTAAAAAATGATTTAGCTCATTGTTACATTTTTCTTTAAACCCAAAATAAACAAGAGTAATCGTGGATAGGTTGCATTCACAAATGGCGACATAAATAGTTTTTCTATATTGCAATACAAAATATAGTGGAAGATCCATTTTTAAGAAATACACTCGTCCTTATGCCTCTTACCCAAGCGCTTCACCTTGTAACCTCCAGTTAAGCTTTCCTTTCTATATTTTATATTTTTTATTACATTGAACACCTATTTTGTTTTAGACCTCGCCATCTTGCCAGAATGGAGGAACCCTTGATGCTGATGCCTGTCTCTGTCTGCCTGCCTTTACAGGAGGGATATGTGAGACCAGGATAGAAGGTAAATCTTCAGTTATATGACGATCTCCTCACCGAAGCAAAAGATGAAAGAGTTCATGTTAAGAATATCACTTTCCTTCGGTAACGCCAGATAGAAACTGCGTCCATTTGGCATGAAGGAAACCTGTGACGGTGGGTTTCGACTCTCAGGTTGTCACTGTACATGCATCTAGGTCAGTCACGTCACTAACACATTGATGTTCTTGGTTGATTCCTTCATTGCTCTTGTCCATCATTGTCCATCACTGACCTGTGTTTGACAGTCATCATGTCACTGTTTCAGACTGTACAGACGTTTCCCTGTACGTTGGTAATTCTACTGGCACCTACACTGTCTGGCCGACCAAAGCCGCACAACCGTTTGACTTGGAATGTCAAGGAGTCACCGCCATGATCATGTTCAGGGACAAAACCATCAGTGGATGTGAGGCTGAGCCCGTGACGTACCTCGACGTTCCCTGGGCCGACTACAAGTCTGGTTTCACCCACTCCAACTGTTACATGTGGCTGGGTCTGGAGAAGATGCATGCTCTGACCAGCGTCAGAGCTTACTTGCTGTACATATCGTTGAAGAATTTTGATAGCACTCCCGGACAAGTATCTTACAACACCTTCTCCGTGGGTGACGAGGCCACGGAGTATCGGCTGTCGGTGTCGGGGTTCACTGGGGATGGCGTTTTCGGAGACCGCTTTAACCTGATTGGAGGCTTTGAAAATGACTAAAGACCACATTGAAGTTAATGTTTTGCAATGGCAAAAAAACCTTGAAACACACACACACACACACACTCACACACACACACACACACACACGGCTTTGAAAATTTCTGGATCCGCCTATGTGATGCACTGTATATTAAAAAAAAATATCAAGACCCATTCACAACTAATATGCTGCTGAATTTTCCGAAAATATTCTCCAGAAGTAAATTGAAAAGATTTTTGTGCTCCTGTTGTATAAGAAAAGAAATTGTCCGCAAGACTTGCAAATTTCGTATTTTGTCGTTTAAAAGTGCAGGTGCCACCGTGCAGATCCGAGCACATATTGTCGACACTTGCCCCCTCTCTGGAATATATTGTCGACACTTGCCCCCTCTCTGGAATATAAACTAGTCGGTCCCAAACTCCCACTATTTTCGAAAGCTAATTTTATTGTATCTTACCCATATAACATCTCGAGACAGAAGATCTTTTCTTACCACCAAATGAAACTTTACCTTATGAAACTGTTTGGTTTGGTTGTTGTTTGTCGACACTTGCCCCCTCTCTGGAATATAAACTAGTCGGTCCCAAACTCCCACTATTTTCGAAAGCTAATTTTATTGTATCTTACCCATATAACATCTCGAGACAGAAGATCTTTTCTTACCACCAAATGAAACTTTACCTTATGAAACTGTTTGGTTTGGTTGTTGTTTAACGCCCCGCTCGGCAATATTCCAGCTATATGACGGCTGGCTGTAAATAATCAACAGCCTGAGCATCGATCTACACAATTGGGATACGCTGACATGTGTCAACCAAGTCAGCGAGTCTGACAACCCGATCCCGTTTGTCGTCTCTTACGACAAGCATGGGTTGCTGAAGACCAATTCTATCCCGGATCTTCACGGATTATGAAACTATAAGTTGTATCAACCCAAACTGTAATGTAACGGACATTCTGTTAGAAATTGTTTACTAAACGAATAATAAAGGTTACCAACAAAAGCAGCAATTGTTCTGTACTAATTGAAACGTCAAGACCAACCGACAGGTCACTTATCGTGTCTCAAGGAGAATTTAAACAAAGAACAGTCCACCACTGAAGTCAATTAAAACTAAGTTATTTACACCAATAATACCTCCGATATTGTGTTCGACTTGATTCAAGATGAATACCAGCGAGTTACGGAGTATTTTGAAAGGGACATTAGGGTGTGTTGCCACACGATTCGTTGACACCGGGCGACACCGTTAGAAAACTGATACGTAAGTGATGTGTCGATCGTCACACCTGTTCTAGGTGTCTGTGTATGTGAACCCATTCATCCAGGTACCCACAGAAGTACTGCTGTACGGCCTTAGGCAACAAACACATAATTATATGGAAACTTGTGACTGGAGCAAAACATGCTTTCCCCATTTGACAAACACCTGGTCTGATTGCTTCAGAGATCCTTTCATATGATTTAAACAGAAGTTTGCCTTTTAGGCCCAGCTTACTCGGCAGAATGTGGATCGTGACCATCCGGTTTCGTTGACCTTTATATCTTGAGACATTCCCTCGAGAAAATATGACATCAAAATAGGCTTTTCTCTGATGAAAACAGTTAACGTGACAAAGGAACGGATTACTAGGCCTATTAATAGCACATATATGGGTAGTATATCTTATGGGTATTTATATAGCGTTATAGTCCATCCCATCTGCATGCATGCTCAAAGCGCTTATGGAAGTCACACTCTTTGTGCTGATATACTGTACAAAACAGACAAAACGTCCTAAAAGAACTAGAGTTTTTAACTGAGGCATGTGCCAATGGTTGGTGAACTCTTTATGGCATGAGGGAGATTGTTCCAAAATATGGGGTCTGATGCACAGAAAGCCTTTTCACCAACTAGTGTCCGTTTAGTTCTTGGACCAGACAAGACATGTTGGTGGTTTCTGAATGCCTTGTGATCTCAGTTGTGTTCCCTGAGATATGCTGGGGCCAGGTCATGCTGACATCTATAGGCGAGTTACAATGTTTTGAAGTGGATCCTTGCCTCAACGGGCAGCCAGTGAAAGTCTTTCAAAACTGGGATGAAGTGTGATCGTCTAGACGTCCTGGTGACAATTCTTGCTGCAGTGTTTTGGATCTTTTGAAGGCGTGTAAGGAGCTCGTGGTTGATGCCAAAGAGGAGACTGTTTCAATAATCTAGTCTAGACATGATTAAGGCCTGAATCAGAGTTGTGGTAGCATCAGTTGTTAGGAGACAGCGAATGTTCCCAATGGGCCGTAGGTGGTAGTTACAAGTTCTACTTAGGTAGTCCACGTGCGCATACACTGAGGCGGGAGTCAATGAATACACCAAGACTCTTTACACTAGAAGAAATCCTAATGTTAGAGTCAGCAACAGTTATTTCATTGCATTCCAGTTTTTGAAGACGTTGTTTGACAACCAAACTTAATGCATTTCTTGTGTTCTTTGTTTTATACTAGTGCCCAAGATTGTTATACTATGTACAGGAACGGTTTCCTCAGGTAAATTAGGAATACCCAAATCAATTTAAAACTAAAAACTTCCGATTCCGGATAATGTGAATATAACTTGCCTACATCTGGGTCAAACTGAAACAAATGTGACGGAATTCGCCTAATGACTTTCAAAGAATTTACAGAAACTATTTCGAGAGGAAATGTGTAAATGATTCCATCACCCGCTTGAGAGTAATGAAATGTCAAATGTAGAGCGTATACATGAACATTTATATCCTCCATTCTACATCAACTTTTCATTGAGATAATATTATAACATAAGGCCTGAACAGATGCAAGAACCACCACGTTTAACAGAATATTGTACAGCATAATCCGATCTCAATGAAAGGAACACTCTCGCTGTCGTTTTCCAACAAGGAATATAAAGTGCAGTCAAAGTGAAATATTGAGACCAGAGCCTTAAGATATGTCACGCATATCACAGTAGGTCTTTGAAAGAGGCTTATGCTCATATACAGGTATCTCACATGAGACAGTATGAAATTTAGACCGACAATTGACTCTGACTAGTTGATACTGCCCTCATGACGACATGTGATAATCTTTGGGTTTAAGACAGAAAGAACACCTGACCGAGACTGGCCTCGTGTTTAGGGTATGTGGTACAACCATCCTGTCCAGGATGTCAGTGATATACCGTGGTCCATTTAGAGCTTGACTCCAAGCTACTTTGTACATAATAAACCTCAAAACGATAGGAAGTCTGGCTCTATGCTTGGCCAATGTTCGGAGATTTCAGACCGTTCTTTTGGGCAAACAACAATTCTAAAGGGTGACGTCTTGTGATTCTGAGAAGTGCTATATCCTCTCTAGGAGTTATCACTCGTGGTCGACCTCATGGACCTTGACGTCATTGGTTTGCTGATGTCTTCTGGACAATCGGCTGATGGATGACAACAAGCCTCTCTTACAAGAATCCTCACTGACATGACAGCTTATCGCATCACAATAACTTGCCATCCTTGAGCAGATGTCAGTTGACTGAGGTTGATTGAAGTTGTTGAGCTGTACAAACCGTTGACTAAAACGTGATATTTGCTTAATGATGAGTACACAGTTTGCACGTAATACTTGCCTTTGATTGTAGCATGTGTACATCTGATATATAAAATGGTCATACTAATCATACAAATAAACATATTTAGGATCTAAACATAAATGCCTATATGGGAGGTCAAAATCATATGGATTGCGGTATTCGTTTCCCTGTACATGTGTATATGAAGGGTTCTTTATCACAGCACTGAAAATGATGCACTGGCGTTGTTTCTCGAACACTCTAAGTGTTATGAGAGTGTTTGTTTTGTAATTTGTAATATCACATGGATTAAGTCATAACTATTATGGGTCACAATATTTAAAGTTTTGAGTGTGGGTTGCGGCTCACATCTTGCATCACATATGTTCAATGGCAATAGTATTTATAGCGTTATGCCTTTTGAGATAGCACTTCAGAGTTGCCTCCCTTGACTGGCTTTATTTTGCTTTGACTTCCGGTCGTATGTTCGAGAAAATCACATAATGTTCTGAGTGGATAATGATGCTGCCTAGCTTTGCTAGAAATGCTCGAGAACTGTGTAAGAGCTATATAAAGGCTGGTTGTTGCGTTGTGCGACTTTTCATATGACTAGATTTATGTACATCTGTCTGCCATTGTCAAGCTGACCTACATTTCAAGACTGATCGTGTTTATGTATATTCAACTGTAGCCATTGTAAACAACCTTCAATCAGTATATCTGCTCTCACTGTAAATGTCAAGACCCTGGTGAGTTAATATTTTATATTTGTGACCCAATATTTTATATTTGTGACTCAATTGCATTGTACTAGATATATGTATTGTTATTCATTGTAGCTTGCTCATTGTTTGTTCAATATACTATTTAATATTTTAGATTTGTCTGTGTTCTATTTTGCTGGTTCAAAGGGGATTCTTAAACCTTTTGTCAGGCAAATTTTTAACCGTAACACTAAAAGAATAAGTACAACCATCTCTGTCGTATTATGTTGAATGCGTGCTTTCTGTATAACTGATGCAATATAATGACATAAAGCATTTGATATTCCTCTGTCAAACTAAACTTAGTACTAGCTAAGAAGCAACATACAATTATTAGCACCACAGCTATGATAACACTGATGTAAAATACTATGTGGATTCTAAACAGTTAAAAGAATTTCCTTGAATACTTACAATATCAGAATAGGGCCAAGTTTAGTTCTGTGAAAACGATTGATTTTTCAACGTTGTACACCACTATCTACACGACAAACGTAAGGAAAAAAGGTCAAAGGTAACTCAAGCTTCAGATATATCGATGGTTTCATATCGTTCAATAACCATCAAACAGCCAATTCACACTAGCACTAATTCAACGACCTGAACTGGATATTAAGGAGATAAGTGGACTCGCTTTATGTGATTCCTATAACGTAAAGTAGAAAACTGTATTTTGAGAGGAAATTTGTAAAAGTCGTTCAATAATTTCATCACACGTATGAAGTGTCAATATGTCAGCCTGTTGTTCCTGTCAGCGTCCCCTATCCAACCTGCGAGGTTTTCATAGACGTTACGACCTCTAGACAGGTGAGTTGAAAGTTTAATAAACTCAAGATAAATATTTGCAAATCGAGATAGAGTGAGAGAGGTGTGTTGAGACAAATCCTCGTGGAATGGTAGTTGTCATGGCGATGCATACTGTAGAAATTCGTGACAAGACCATAAGATAGCATTATACTATATAACAGCAATATACAAAACAACTAGATTCTCAGAAACCTCTATTTTCACATGGTGTGAGACTGCGAGTCCACAAATGCACATCATTATAGGTGATGTTTTTTTTCGGGTAACGTGAATGTGTGTTCGTGAGTATTTTACGCCTCTTTTAGCAATTTAGCCACATGTTTACAATAAAAACTCATGCATTTTGTGTCCTAACCTTGATGAGACAACTTCTGAGCAAGAGTCGAATGATGCTCTTTGACATGTTGATCCATCGAGCATGTCTGATTGTACCTCAAAAGTTGAGAAATGTAAGCACCAAAGGCTGGATCTGGTGGAATATTGCTCCACATGAAGGGACAGTTGACATTTGGAAACTTAAAGAGCCATCCTACTGATTTGGGGCCGGTGGGGTAGCCCAGTGGTTAAAGCGTTCGCTCGTCACTCCGAAGACCCGGGTTCGACTCTCCGCATTGGTACTTTGTGTGAAGACCAATTTTTAGGTCTCCTCCCTCTAGAGTGTAAGTGAGGTACAATATAAAGTATTTCGCCAATATCGTGACAAGAACATAATATATCCTTAAACTATCCTTATATCATGTTAGTGTGTGTGAGTGAGTATAGTTTTACGACTCTTTTTACATCATAATGACTAGGGACACCAGAAATTGGCTTCCCATATTGGACCCATGTTGGGAATCTGGAAGCGGCTTGACGAACGAACACTTTAAGCACCACGCTACCTTAAACGCCCCTGATGTTAAAAAATGATTTAGCTCATTGTTACATTTTTCTTTAAACCCAAAATAAACAAGAGTAATCGTGGATAGGTTGCATTCACAAATGGCGACATAAATAGCTTTTCTACATTGCAATACAAAAAATAGTGGAAGGTCCATTTTTAAGAAATACACCCGTCCTTATGTATCTTACCCAAGCGCTTCACCTTGTAACCTCCAGTTAAGCTTTCCTTTCTATATTTTAATTAAATTGAACACCTGTTTCGTTTTAGACCTCGCCATCATGCCAGAATGGAGGAACCCTTGATGATGATGCCTGTCTCTGTCTGCCTGCCTTTACAGGAGGGATCTGTGAGACCAGGATAGAAGGTAAATCAGTTATATGAAGATCTCCTCAACGAAGCAAAAGATGAAAGAGTTCATGTTAAGAATATCACTTTCCTTCAGTAACGCCAGATAGAAACTGCGTCCATTTGGCATGAAGGAAACCTGTGACGGTGGGTTTCGACTCTCAGGTTGTCACTGTACGTGCATCTAGGCCAGTCACGTCACTAACACATTGATGTTCTTGGTTGATTCCTTCATTGCTCTTGTTCATCATTGTCCATCACTGACCTGTGTCTGACAGTCATCATGTCACTGTTTCAGACTGTACAGACGTTTCCCTGTACGTTGGTAATTCTACTGGCACCTACACAGTCTGGCCGACCAAAGCCGCACAACCTTTTGACTTGGAATGTCAAGGAGTCACCGCCATGATCATGTTCAGGGACAAAACCATCAGTGGCTGTGAGGCTGCGCCCGTGACATACCTCGACGTTCCCTGGGCCGACTACAAGTCTGGTTTCACCCACTCCAACTGTTACATGTGGCTGGGTCTGGAGAAGATGCATGCTCTGACCAGCGTCCGTCCTCATAAACTCACGCTTACACGCTCTACATGTCCTTGAAGAAGTTTGACGGCACTCCCGGACAAATATCTTACAACGCCTTCTCCGTGGGTGACGAGGCCTCGGAGTATCAGCTGTCGGTGTCGGGGTTCACTGGGGATGGCGTTTTCGGAGACCGCTTCAACCTCGGGGACCCAGCTACAACCCTGGATGGGAGTCACTTCTGTGCCAAGGATCACTGCAACAACTCAGTCAACCCTTGTGCCGAGTAGCATCGTGGAGCCTGGTGGAACGGGTTGGATGTCTGTCAGACGAATCCTCACTACACATATGACATTGTATGGGCTCTTAATGATGGTAGCGCCCACGAATGCAAAAGTATTTATATGTTAATAGGTCCCGCCTAATAGACTGATTCCCTAAAAATCAGAAGACAATGATTGTACATGGACGATACTTGCACTTAATATTCACCACACATGCACTTAACATTCACCACACATACACGTTACATTCACATGCTCATAACATTCACCACACATACACGTAACATTCACATGCTCATAACATTCATCACACATGCTAATGTGATCATGTAAATTGCCAGTTTTTCATTCTGAATACATTTAAAGTATGTTTACCATACATACGCAGTACATTCGAAATACTTCATACGATGCAGTGGCGGATCCGAGGGGGTGGGGGGTTGAAAATGACTAAAGACCACATTGAAGTTAATGTTTTGCAATGGCAAAAAAACCCCTTAAAAAACACACACACACACACACACACACACACACACACACACACACACACACCGCTTTGAACATTTCTGGATCCGTCTATGCGATGCACTTTATATTCAAAAGAAATATCAAGACCCATTCACAACTAATACGCTGCTGAATTTTCCGAAAATATTCTCCAGAAGTAAATTAAAAAGATTTTTGTGCTCCTGTTCTATAAGAAAAGAAATTGCCCGGAAGACTTGCAAGTTTCTTATTTTGTCGTTTATAAGTGCAGGTGCCACCGTGCAGATCAGAGCACATATTGTCGACACTTGCCCCCTCTCTGGAATATAAACTAGTCGGTCCCAAACTCCCACTATTTTCGAAAGCTAATTATATTGTATCTTACCCATATAACATCTCGAGACAGAAGATCTTTTCTTACCACCAAATGAAACTTTACTTTATGACACTGTTTGGTTTGGTTGTTGTTTAACGCCGCACTCGGCCACATCCCAGCTATATGACGGCAGTCTGTAAATAATCAACAGCCTGAGCATCGATCTACACAATTGGGATATGTTGACATGTGTCAACCAAGTCAGCGAGTCTGACCACCCGATCCCGTTTGTCGTCTCTTACGACAAGAATGGGTTGCTGAAGACCAATTCTAACCCGGATCTTCACGGATTAAGAAACTATAAGTTGTATCAACCCAAACTGTAATGTAACGGACATTCTGTTAGAAATTGTTTACTAAACGAATAATAAAGGTTACCAACAAAAGCAGCAATTGTTCTGTACTAACTGAAACGTCAAGACCAACCGACAGGTCACTTATCGTGTCTTAAGGAGAATTTTAACAAAGAACAGTCCACCACTGAAGTCAACTAAGTTATTTACACCAATAATGCCTCCGATATTGTGTTCGACTTGATTCAAGATGAATACCAGCGACTTACTGAGTATTATGAAAGGGCCATTTGGGTGTGTCGCCACACGATTCGTTGACACCGGGCGACACCGTTAGAAAACTGATACGTAAGTGATAGGTTTGGATGTGTCGATCGTCACACCTGTTCTAGGTGTCTGTGTATGTGAACCCATCAATCCAGGTACCCACAGAAGTACTGCTGTACGGCCTTAGGCAACAAACACATAATTGTATTGAAACTTGTGACTGGAGCAAAACATGCTTTCCCCATTTGACAAACACCTGGTCTCGTCGCTTCAGAGATCCATTGATATACTGAGTCAAAAAAGAAACTTCACATTCTTTCTTCAGGGCACTATAAAAGAACAAGAGATGGTAAGATGGTTTAATTGTTATTATTTCATTGCTGAGATCTGCGTGATGTACTCGATACACTGACAGTGCCATAATCAGTTCCATTAGGCTACACCGCCGTTCCAAAACATGGGTATACAGAATGTCAAGTCACAAGAATAAAAATGCGAAATTTCCCAGTTCAGTATCGTGTATGGCCGCCCCGCGCATTCACCACTGCCAAACACCGTCTCCTCATCGACTGCCTGATGCTTGTGAACACGTGGTTGGGGATTCTGCGCCATTGCTCTTGCAAGGCAGCGCCAAGTTCCTGCAAATTCTGAGGTTGGTTCCTAAGACCACGAAGCCTTCTCCCAAGTGCATCCCAAACGTGCTCTATTGGATTAAGGTCAGGGGACCTCGATGGCCAGCCCATGACGTTGATTCCAGCGTTTTGAAGGAAATTTCGTGTCAACATCGCGGTATGCAGCCGAGCATTATCATGCTGGAACTGTAGACCTGGGCCATTAGCCGCCATGAAAGGAACGAGTTCAGGGGGTGAGCACCTGGTCGCGGTAAGCAGCAGCTGTGAGGTTTTCACGGATGACCAGAAGTCGGGAACGGTTGTTCCCACAGAAAGCACCCCACACCATGCAACTTCCGCCCCCGAATCTGTCGACTTCCTGTACACAACATTGGGCATACCGTTCACGACGTCGTCTCCAGACTCTATGCCTGCCGTCCACGAATCTGAGGGTAAACCTGGATTCATCGCTAAAGACGACTCGATCCCAGTCTCCCTGGGTCCAACGGAGGTGATGTTTGGCCCACAGCAGACGTTGACGTTGATGAAACGGCGTCAATATTGGCCCACGATATGGACGTCGAGAATAGAGATTGACAGCCCGCAAGCGATTTCGAATGGTCTGTGAGGACAGTCGACCTCTAAACATCTCAGCCCTGGTTCGTGTAGCCGGCAGAAATCTGTCACGTAGGTGACGTAGGACGATTTGACGGTCTTCTGCTCGTGACGTCACACGTGGACGACCCGACCTTGGGCGATCAGAAGTGGTGCTAGTTTTTGTAGACGACCTCGCAAGTCATACACAGTACAACGGCTGCATCCCATTGCTCTTGCGACGTCAATAACTGATCTTCCCGCTTGCAACATGCCAACGGCACGTTCATGTTGCACATTTGACAATCGTGGCATTTCAAGTACCGCAAACACATGCATATGAAGAAAACTTTGATGCGAAGATCACGTTATCGACTGCACGTGCAAAACCTGATTTGGCCCTAACATCATTTGCACGACGAATGGATGGGTTTGAGTGGGTTTTGCTAACGTTTTTCTAGAGTCGAAAGATAGGGATCCCATTTCGGATACATAGATGTATCATCAGAGAAAAATGATTCATTATTTTTCAAATTACATTTTGTGAAGTTTCTTTTTTGACTCAGTATATAATTTAAACAGAAGGTTGCCTTTTAGGCCCAGCTTACTCGGCAGACTGGATCGTGACAATCCGGTTTCGTTGACCTGTATATCTTGAGACATTCCCTCGAGAAAATATGACATCAAAATAGGCTTTTCCCTGAACAAAACAGTTAACGTGACAAAGGAACGGATTACTAGGCCTATTAATAGCACATATATGGGTATTTTATATTATGGGTATTGATATAGCGTTATAGTCCATCCCATCTGCATGCTTGCTCAAAGCGCTTATGGAAGTCACACACTTTGTGCTGATATACTGTACAAAACAGACAAAACGTCCTAAAAGAACTGGAAGAAGTCAGTCTGAGTAATATTTATCAATTAAAGAAGTGAGTTTGTAACTGAGACATGTGTCAATGGTTGTTGAACTCTTTATGGCATGAGGGAGATTGTTCCAAAATATGGGGTTTGATGCACAGAAAGCCTTTTCACTAACTAGTGTCAGTTTAGTTCTTGAAACAGACAAGACATGTTGGTGGTTTGTGAATGCCTTGTGATCTCAGTTGTGTTCCCTGAGATATGCTGGAGCTAGGTCATTCTGCGACTATAGGCGAGTTACAATGTTTTGAAGTGGATCCTTGCCTCAACAGGCAGCCAGTGAAAGTCTTTCAAAACTGGGATGATGTGTGATCGTTTAGACGTCGTGGTGACAATTCTTGCTGCAGTGTTTTGGATCTTTTGAAGGCGTGTAAGGAGCTCGTGGTTGACTCTTTACACTAGAAGAAATCCTAATGTTAGAGTCAGCAACAGTTATTTCATTGCAGTCCAGTTTTTGAAGACGTTGTTTGACAACCAAACTTAATGCATTTCTTGTGTTCTTTGTTTTATACTAGTGACCAAGATTGTTATACTATGTACAGGATCGATTTCCTCAGGTAAATTAGGAATACCCAAATCAATTTAAAACTAAAAACTTCCGATTCCGGATAATGTGAATATAACTTGCCTACATCTGGATCAAACTGAAACAAATGTGACGGAATTTGCCTAATGACTTTCAAAGAATTTACAGAAACTGTATTTCGAGAGAAAATGTGTAAATGATTCCATCACCCGCCTGAAAGTAATGAAATATCAAAATGTAGAGCGTATACATGAACACTTATATCCTCCATTTTACATCAACTTTTCATTGAGATAAAATTGATTGAACAGATGCAAGAACCACCACGTTTAACAGAATATTTTACAGCATAATCCGATCTCAATGAAAGGAACACTCTCGCTGTCGTTTTCCAACAAGGAATATAAAGTGCAGTCAAAGTGAAATATTGAGACCAGAGCCTTAAGATATGTCACGCATATCACAGTAGGTCTTTGAAAGAGGCTTATGCTCATATACAGGTATCTCACATGAGACAGTATGAATTTTAGACCGACAATTGACTCTGACTAGTTGATACTGCCCTCATGACGACATGTGATAATCTTTGGGTTTAAGACAGAAAGAACACCTGACCGAGACTGGCCTCGTGTTTAGGGTATGTGGTACAACCATCCTGTCCAGGATGTCAGTGATATACCGTGGTCCATTTAGAGCTTGACTCCAAGCTACTTTGTACATAATAAACCTCAAAACGATAGGAAGTCTGGCTCTATGCTTGGCCAATGTTCGGAGATTTCAGACCGTTCTTTTGGGCAAACAACAATTCTAAAGGATGACGTCTTGTGATTCTGAGAAGGGCTATATCCTCTCTAGGAGTTGGACTTCATGGACCTTGAAGTCATTGGTTTGCTGATGTCTTCTGGACAATCGGCTGATGAATGACAACA